AAGAGTGCTATGTTTAATGAAGAAGCTATGTTTAATGTCAAAATCAAAATCTTTGCTGATTTCAATGTGCTGTTGGATGTTGTCCGCCATTGCTTCTGTGGTTAACGTCACGTTGTAATCCAACTGCAGTTGAGTTGGACGGCAATTGTAGTTCAAGATGAGCGTTCGATGACGTATACTATCAAACTCACAAATGGACCAATCAGAGGTTAGCGCTGATTTCCAGCTGACGGCGTCCTGTCCTAAGAAACCAGGCCTTTAGAATCATCAGCAATTGAAATATCCCAATGAGCATCGTTTTCTAAGAGACTTAATTTTTGGCAAGCCTCACGAAATGTAGCACACACGCGGCCATTGACTGTTTTTAATTCTTGGAAAGATGTTGGTCCCCGAACATTGATTAATAATACTCTCAGGTAAAAGCATTCTGCGTTATTTGGATGTACAGTGTACAGATGACCCAATGCATCTGTGGAATATAAATTTAGATGACCTTGTACTGCTCTAAATTGTTTACGACGCTGAAATTTTCTTGATGTTGTACTCCAAGTAAAATAAGTTGGTACTTCAGAGTACAGTAGCGTCCTTTCAAAGGTATCATTTCTACATAATGCGAAAAATTCAGTTAATGTTGTTGGCGATGGTGACACATTTCTGTGCATTTTCTGATGTAAAATACACACGCTGTCCATTTTCAAGATGTACTGCTAAATGAACAACGGTTGGATATCGCTCATGAATGGAAAATGATAAAATACGCCATACAGCCTCATTGCTACTTATGTAGCGTCCCAGTTGATATTGGGTGACTTCATCGTTAGAGGCAGTTGTATTTTCCTCTGCATACACTGCCATATCGCTTCCTTTGTTCACATATTTGCAAATATATTTTATAGCTTTCACTGAATTGCAGTACCCAACATTTATGTGTGCGTTATACGTTTTTGGTAGTAATGGAGAATATGGTACTACCCAACGGTTATCAACATCAATAGTATTGTTGAGTACTTTTAGTTTAATGGATTTTACACCATCTTCGGTAGATCGTCGTCGATAGAGTGGATATCCATCATTGCCTGAAATAGTTTCAGGAGGGAAATCTCTAGGATACCGCTTTATGCACTTTCCATCTGACATGCATGGTGAATTATTATTTAGGGAGCCACATGGACCGTGAATCATATTTTTTGAGACAATATCGTGCAAGTCCTTATTAATTTCAATGTCTGGTATTTCTGCAGAGATGATTTCATCAATTCTGTTTGGTGTTATCTTTTCCATCATCCATATTAAAATATGCGCATGTGGTAAACCTCTTTTTGTCATTCAATGGAATACATCCAACAGCGCGTCTCTCCAAATACATGGTGTTTGACAATAAAATCTATTAACTATTTTAATTTTTGTTTAAATACACGTGCAGAAATATCATGACAATCTGATGGTGATTGTCCAGTTAATAAAAGCTCCTTTATTTCATCCCATGCTGGGTTGCATATAAATGTAATGAAAAAATCTGGACGACCATAAGCACGAACATACGTCATTGCATCTTGTGCATATTCATGCATGTGTCTTGGGCTGCCTGTATATGTGGATGGTAAAATGACCATTTTCCCACATTCACTGAGATTGCCATCATTTACAACTGCGTCACGTAAATGGATGTACTCTTCAGAACGCAATTTAACTTGATTTAGTCGTATGTAGAGGAGTCTTTCATTTTTTTATTTTTGCATACTTGTCAACAATGTATTGATGAAATAATTGTCTTCATTTCAATATATGATTATCAGCATTCTCACGAATCATCATTCGATATGCATAATAATGCATAGCACTGACCTTTTTGTTAATGTCCACATTAGTTGTAGGATTTCTCATATTAATATTAAAATGATATCCATCCTCTCCTTGCCAAAATAGAATGGGATATTGTAATGCATCATATGAACGATGCGTTTCTGATACTTTCTGGACTTCACCATTTCTACGATGAAGAATTATGTCGCGAGAAGTAAATTCTTCACCAACTATGACAATTGCCACTTCATCAATCGTTGGCGCGTTGAATTGTCTTCGATGTTGACCAATAGGTGTTTTATCTGCCTTTATTATTACTTTGTAATCGTCAGATGGCATTTGTTCAATGGCGGTTTTAAATAATTTAATTAATTCATTATGTTGTTCAAACAAATTTTGTAATTCAGCGACAATCTCTCGTTTAGTACTCATATTCAGTTGACACCGTCTGTTGATTTGTTCGTCAGTATTTCCCATAAAATATATCTGAAGATATTTGTGATCAGCATTTGGCAAGGGTAGTAGTGATCCAGCATGGTGATAAATTTGCCCTTGCACTTTAAATGTTGGCATAAAATTTGCGCTAACGATATTCGTTGCTCCGAACGATGTCATTTGGAAGCATGAATTGTACTTGCGTATATTTTTCAAAAAATTTTTTGATTGACTTGTTTCACCTGATACTAAAGTTAGTAATGGTTCAGGTGGTGAACGCAAGTTTGGTAACTCTACTTTTCCACCTGCACAGCACATACCTGGTGTTTCATTTTTAAATTTTAGAGCACCACAATACGTACACTTTTTATCCATTTTTCCAATAATTACACTTGGATGAAGACTGTAATTGTAAAGGGGATTGTAATTGAAACCACATAAATTCAAATCAGTATATATCGTTCGTATTGTCTGTCTTCCGCGAATTCGATTCCTTTGCTGCCTTGCTTGCCTCTGTTCACTCGTTTCTAATGTTCGAGCAAGAGCAATGTGAACTCGCTCTCTTTCTTGCCTTGCTTGTCTCTGCTCACTTGCTTCTGAAGCTCATTTTTCTCTTCTCCTTTTCGTTTGGTTTGTAGATCGACCAACGGCACTTCGCTTTGGTGGCATAATTGAGGGGTTAAATAAAACGTATTTTCAAAACATATTAAAATTTTTCTCGTATTAATAATTGCAAAAGTTCTTTGACATCTTAAAAAACAATTTACAAACGTATTACATCCTATAAATAATAATAGAAGTTGCCATCTTCAGTCATTGTAAAGTGGGAATAATACAGAATATGATATCACGCGAATAATACAAACTATAACAATAATACAAATAATCTCAGATGCAGGAATCTAGCAAATATTACATTACGTCATACTGCTAAGCTGAATTTCAAACACCATTACTACCCTTAGGAAAATTTACCATAGGTTTGCCATAAAAAAATGCCATAGGATATTCCTATGGGGTTTTGCCTATGGCAAAAATTTTGCCATATACGAATGGCAGAATTTTGCCATACATGTATGGCAAATTTTTGCCNGAAACTTGCGCGAATTATAATTAAATATTAAAGTATATGTAATTTACTCTTCTAAAAGAATAGAGCTATAAGATAGAAAATATCACTGTTGTTATCTTCAAGATATTTGATAACTGAAATTTTAGCAAAATTTAAAATAATAAGCAAAGCAAAATTTAAAATAATGGCTAACTTTTAACCAATCGGAAAATTCCATTTCGACTTTCGCTGATATCGCTGGAACGGTTTGTCGCAGAATGTTCTAATGTCGACAGAAACCTTCCTCGTGCTTTGAACTATCTGTATGACAAGTTTCATAGCTTTCTGTCGGATGGTTTAGGAGTCTATAGAGGACAGACAGACACACATTCAATTTTATATATATAGATTTAAACACGGATTGTTTATGATAAAACTGTTAGATAGTAAAATAGGCGTATGGTTGTAGTCCTAGTTGGAGTAACTCTCCTTCACCGTAATCCAACCGTTCTTGTAGCATAACTTGTTTCACAGTATAATTTAATAACTCTTGAGATTGTCGAATGAGAGTTGCTTTTTTTTAACAGTCAAAACTATTGAAGAAGCTAAAACAAATGTTCCATATTTTCTTTTCTTTCGGTAACTGAAGATCCGGAGCCATCCTTTAACTTTCAGAAGAATGGAACGATAAACCGAATTTACTTTTTGTTGCCCATTTTATTAGAATCGCTGACGCATTACTTCAGTACTTTACAAGAGAAACTTTTAATAATCTCATCAATGATATGTGTCTATGTACTAATATACTAAAGAAAAATCCACAATTATGTCCTTATAACACTTTTCTAAAAGTTATTCCTAGCCTAACAGGTCGCTGCACCATCTTGCAACTCTTAAAGAAAATTGTTATTTGATACATTAGATTTGAATAGCTGTCATTCTGAAGTTATAATTTAAAGTCTTGTCATATTTCTGTACTATTATACGTATAATGAACGATGATTACGCTTATAGCATGAATGAATGAAATGCTTCTCTACCTGTGATTAATTTTAAAGTCGTGTTTTATCTTGTTTCATTCGAATAAAAATTCATATTAATATAAATTTATAATGAAAAGTATAGTAAATAAAAGTATATTATATATAATGAAAAGTATAATAGATGAACATAATATATTTAAAAGTATAATATATTAAAGTACTTAATATTTTTTTTACTAAAGGAAACAAATTTTAAATGAAACAAAATATCGGATTTAAACAGTTAATAAATATTTCTTTTATTAAATCTAAATAAAAAAAATACGTAGATGCTCATAAATACTTTGTTCTCCATATTTTTTTTTATGCAATCTTCCTTTTTTGTAGATTTATGTATATTACTTCATCCACATTAGTATTTTGTGAGGGGGGGGGGAGTCGACATAAACATGAATTCGAATGCATAAAGTACATAACTTATAATCTTCTTTCATTAGCACAAAAGTACCAACAACTTCAATGCTTTCAGTCAAGAAAGAGGCTTAGGAAATATATATATATATATATATATATATTTCCTAAGCCTCTTTCTTAGTCTTAGTCTATATGATAGTTTTGTAGTGGGTAATACTTACTATTTTTAAAGCTGTCTTCATGCTTGTTATCCCTCCCATACTATGTCCTACAATTGTGACTTTCTCAGCGGCTATTTGTTCTATAAAATGTATGAGATCCACTGCATTTAAATCCAAATTGAATTCATCACTCCAGTCACTGTCACCATGGTTTCTGGCATCTACTGTATATACCTGCAAATTTCAAGACACTATGAGCTCTTTTCACTATTAAATACAATGAATTTGTTTGAAAATTAATTTTAATTTTTTAGAAGTATTCCCATACGCGTAGTGTGTTATAAGTCTTGAATTTGTGTTTCCCCCTTGGGTAAATTTAAATTTAAATGCGAAAACAAAATTGCAGATTTTTCAAAGCAATGATTGTACTCTAAAACATTTCACCTTAAAATAAGAACTCAAAGGGGGGTAGCCGTATTAAATAACCACTGAGATCGCTCTAACCACTGAGCCACAGCAACTCTGTGAGTTTTAGTTGTGGGAATGCAAAATTACTAAACAAAAATGTCCAATATTGAACCATGAATTCCAATCTTCCTCCATTTGAAATTTAAACCGTCGCCTTTCTCTTCAAGGTTTAGAAAAGTGGAAATATGGGATACAATGATGTTTACGATGGTGCTGGTAGTATATTGCAGTTTCTTTCTAGTGAATTCTGATTACTGATGTTTAAAGGAAATATTCCATTGCCATCTGCGCTCTAGAACCTCTCATGGCGATGGTCTGGGAATCCCTGGTGTTGATCCGAAGTCATGATATCACAATTTTAATACTCTGCAGAGGGGATGGCTTCCTCGTTTTAGTAGCCCGACGACCAGCGACGGCCTGAATCGAGTACTTTACGGTAGAACAGTTTGACGAGGAACGATACCACGCAACCTTCGGTCCCTACGCAGGCTGATCAACATGGTCATCCAGCCGTTTACTGACCCCAGCCAGTGATGCTTGACTTCAGCTTCTTACTGGGAACCGTATCTTTACGATCAGTCCCCTGAAGGACATTCCCTATACTGACATATTTCCTATTTTAAGTTGTTGGATGTTCTTGACCACCGAGAGATAAAAAAAATATCAAGACTTCAAAAGAGTGATTAAAAAATATTTGAACATAAAAAAAAATTATTACAAAATGTTTAGCAACCTCGAAATGTTTTTAAAACCTTTTTGTTATTAGAAAGGTAATATTTCATTTTCAATTTTTTAATTCTGAACTCGAAAACGGATTTCTTATACAGGAAAAACGCCGACATGCATAAGTTACTTTTCTCCATCAGCATATGCTATGCACCATCCGCCCCTATATTTGGATGCAGCTTGGATTGAGGGACCTAGGGTTTCACGCTTGTTACTTTGTAATTTTGCTTCCAAACATACATTAATTTCATTAATTAAATATGCAATTTCATATATCAGAATGATAACAAATAGTGGTGTAGCATCATATTGAGCACTTTGTATTATAAACTTGAATATTTTCAGCAGAAAACATTATAAGTTCTAAATTTTGTTAACAATTAAAATTTAACATACCCTAAGTGGCTTCAGCTACTTTTTGTGGAATATCATTCCAGTATTCTTTACTGCCTCCTAAAGGAACATTCTCACAGTTCTTTACAGCAGCAGAAATCCGTTTAATATTAGAAAGGTAATATTTTATTTTTATTTCTTAATCCTGAAATCAAAAATAAATTCTGTCTGCTGTACTTGCTTCAGGAACAACGCAGACTTTTCCTTTCTGTACGGAACTGTCCAATTGTATAGGGAGGCAGTTTGGAAGTGAAAGACTAGCGCTTCACGCTTGTTGCTTTCTAAACTTACTTCCCAACATAAATTAATTTCAATGACTGTATATGCGATTTCAGATTTCAAACAGTGGCGTAGCATCATATTGAGCACTTTTTATTAACTTGAAGATTTTCATCCGAAAACATTATGAGTTCTAAATTTTGTTAACATTTAAAATTCAACATACCCTTCTATGAGTGGCTTCAGCTACTTTCTGTGGAATATCATTCCAATTTTCTTTACAGCTTCCTATACCATGCAAAAATATTATGGGATTATTCCTTTCCACATCCTGGCTAGCTTCAAAGACTTTGAAAGCTAATGTAACCGGCCTGCAGCTAGAAAAAGCGCAATGTTAGTTTTGATACGTATTTTCTTTCAATCTATATTAATGAAACGGAACGTTAATATGTATGAATGCACTGTATACAAAACCGAAATTCTGAATCGATTAACAGATAATTTGGTGTAAATATGTCCGATAATTCGTTAAGAAACTTCTTTTACATGAATCAGATAGAAACGGTTTAAAATTTAAAACGTTTCTGGATACAATGTATGATGTTACGGAACTTTCTTACAATTCGTATACCTATAAAAAATAAAGAAGAATGTTTAATTGTATGTGCATACAGTGGGCAAAATAAAAAACAGATCACCCTGAATAACTTATGATCTCATAAAAGGATCTTCACGTTCCAGAATTTAATCCTAAAGGTTCAAGGGAATGACCTCAAATTT